TGAAACTGTTGCTTCCAAGTAAGAGCTAAAAATGCTTCTCGAAATTTTCTATGTACAAAACAGTCGTTTAAACAACTGTTGATACAGCGAACCGATCCAGTTTACAAAGTTATGCTCTAATTAAATATAACGTGGTAATATACATACTAATGAGTCCCCGTGAGAAAGTGTTACGTTATCGACTAACGCGGATCATTTCACCACCATATAAAATTACCAGCGGCAGAATCAATCCGGCTGAATAATTGACTTCTTATTTTACGGTTAGAGATTATTATGAAATCGAATTTGCGTACCAATTCTCAGGAATGGTTTCCCTCGCAAAATCGTCGCACAATGGAAACGATAAAAACAACGATTCACATCTTTCGTGTGCGTAACATGTCTATGATCTTTTTATTCGTGATGAACCGAGAGTAATTGTTTTAAGAACCAAATAACGTGCACTCGTTGAAGTTAGTACGTAAAACTTGGTGCTTTGTTGAAATTATGTTTAATTGAAGTACAATAAAATTCATTTATAAAAAATTAGGGGTCCTTTGTCGCCGTGGGAGACCCTCCCCTCCCTTTAAAATTTCTTGCATTTTAAATAATTAACTCCCTGTCGCATTTAATGTAAAAAGAAATTCAAGTCGATATCTGCAGTGGTTTCGATGGAAACAGCTCGCAGCACTTTATTTCGCTCACCTTGAATAAATCTTATCACAAAGAAGGCATACCGAGCATTATGTCGAACCATTTTACGAAAGACTTGCCATGCAAGTACTGATCAAGATTACGACCTTCTGTCGTTATTATTTTTATCACGATTTTGTTAGTACTATACTTTTTTTCAAACAAATTAGATGGTCTCTCTGCTTACGAGGACAACTAGCTGGTCAGCCGTCATTGACCCACGATATCGATTACAGTAACATTGATCATCCCCGTTTTCTCGCACCTACGAGCGTACGATAGGAATGAATCAGAAAAAAAGAGAAAGAGGAGAAGCGAGACCCAGAACTACCACGATCTAGCAGTGAAAGTACTTTGAACTCCAGTCACGTGCTTCAGTTTCCTCAGGTATATCACCAGGTGAACTGTTATGGACGAGTCCAGTATCATCTTCACCATCCTTCTTGATTCAGCCTCATTGCTCCTAGCTATACCTATCGAAGTTACGGAGTACGCATTCATTCACTAAAATAATTAATGAAATAATATAACATCCAGTTGAACAGCCGTGGCACTTCTTTTCCTAATTTCTCGATAATTGTTTTGATTGTGCGTTGCGTCAGTCCTCGTGGTGTTTCTTCTTTCTTTCCAAAGATTGAACCAGGTGGGCGGTGAATACATTTTCAAGAGTATACTGACACTTTCTTCAACTGGTTCGTATTCCATCTTTATCTTTGATACTACTTTTTTTTTTCGAAATATAAAAATGAATATGCCGCAACATTTATTATACTCTATAAATTCGTTTATTCATTTGCTTCTTATATTCCGAATGCAAATTTATGGGAATTTTCCGTGTTCTGCTGCTACAAAATACCGTTCACTAGAGAAACTTATAGTGTAGTAGGTATGCTTTTGGTACGATATATAAAATGAACGAGAGAATAGTTTGTTATAGAGTTAATGAAGTACTGTAACTTATTTAAGATGAAACATTACTTCCATATTTTCATAATAATATCTTTCATATAGACGTATTCAGGAAAGGTAACAAGTGTAATGAATATACAGTTTGAGTAACAACGCGGAGATTTCCGCACAGTGTTACGGTGTTTCTTAGTAGAATTCTACTTCTAAGTAAGGACTTCCACTACCTATTACAACAGTAAAGGGCACTTTAAAGAAAACTGTAGAATAGTTCTTCTCAGTGTTTCATTGAATTTTGTAGAATGTAATATGTCAACATTAAAGGATTTAGGAAAAGAATTAAATGGTAGGTAGCAAAAAAGTAATTCTTCTCAGATGCTTGGAAGTACTTAAAAATCAGCAGATAGTGAATTCCAATTATTTTGTCTAATAAGTAATGAAAACCAGTTTTACATCTATAAAACTTACAATTTTCAACCTATCTCACATACACACACGCACACACGTTAATCTTTATTTACTGGTAAGTAAATGCATATTACAATTAACGATAAATTTATATGTGACGACAACAAATTTAACGGAACTCGACAGTTTCATTTTTTACTTATCTGTACATGTTTTTGAACATTTATGTAGAAATTTTCGCATAGAAAACAGAAAAAGTTTTGCTGTTTGTACACATAGAGCGTTTCTTTTAACATAATACAAGAATATCTCATAGACTGTTGAAGATATGAAAAAATTGTTAGAATGAGACTTATTTGATATAGTGAGACATTGTGTAGTGGAAATAATTTTTTCGTATAAGAAATTATAAGGGAAATTTCAAGGTGAACTTAATTTTCTTAAATAGATTACTGTACATCTTGAAACCTAAAATGGTGTACCGCATAAGGTCATTGAACGTAGTACAAGGTCATAAATTACTGAGCTCCCAAGCAGTCAGTTATCTGGTAAACTGTCTGTCCGATTATTATGTGTATGACCTTCTGCTAATGTTCAATGACCTTATGTGACACACCTAAACTTTTCTTAACCCTTTCGCGACGGCGGAACTAGCCATCAGTACGCCACTAACGAACGGATCGTCGTGCCGTTAGTGCACACCGTACACGTTAAGAGTGTCTCGCGTTTTTTCAAATCTTAGAGGATTTCGTTGGAACAGCAGAGGACTTAAGGATGTATCGGATAAAGGGAATGTTGTCGAGGCCTTGTTCTGTATTTTAAAATAAATCTTCACTTTGAGTTGTCGAGGAGCGAGCCAATGCGACGCGCCTAGTGGATGCCGGATATAACCGGCGCTAGTCGTGAAAGGGTTAACAAACGCTGTTGTATTACGAATAAAGTATAATGTTCCATTCAGAAAATCAAGTGAGCTTGAAATGTCCTCTACAGTTTTCATGTATGTATGTATAATGTATACAAAACAATACGCAGTAATACTCGTCGTAGGGCATACAGTTCGACAACTTCTTAACGCTGGAAATAACAGGAGAGTTGGAGTGAAATATAATTCCGTTGTCATTATTAGTATTTGAACATTGATTTTCGCAGCATGTATTATTCCTTCGCTCAATGAATTTGCCTCAACATTCGTAAATTAATAGGTAAAAAGACTGTAGGGTTATGCACAGAGAGCTGACAGCTTATATACAATACACGACCCGACGCATAGAATATCTAATCTGTTTTGATTCGTATCGTGTATGAGAACAGAAATTTGAATCGTTCCATCAGTAACAAAAATAGCAAAGTAGTTGTGCGGTTCAGTATGTATATACAAATATTTACAAGCTTAAAAAATGCAAGCTGATATTTTTGAAACTTCTTCAAAGAAAAACATAGCTGATTGTACACGTAAAAACTGAATATGGTATCATGAAAATTATGTTAAATGAAAGATTCCTTTTTACTTTAATTCATTTTATTATTTTAAAAAAAAAAAGAGGTTAATAGCCAATATACATTTAATAAGTATCCTTACAATTTCCTCTTTATAAGTAATAAAAACTAATATTTTACAGTTATTGCTTGTAACTTTCATCATCTTCACT